GTTCAGTTCGGTCTGTTCAGTACCGGCGGCGGATCCGGCAGCAGATGCAACAGCCATCCACTCTTCGTCCGCGGACCCAGCGGCTGGCGCCGCGCCCGCGGGTGGCCCCGCACCTCCGCTGGAGTCTGCGGGTGACCCCGCCTCTTCATGGAATCGGCGGTTCCATTCTTTGAGGCGATGGTCTTTAGGAAGCTGTTCCCAATTTTCCCTGACAGTGTCAGCAACCTCCTCGGTCATAGGGACGCGATCGGCTTCGGTAATGCGCTTTCCTCCTCCAGGGACCTTCTTGTTAGGATCGTGGACGGTGCCAGCGTCATCTCCATGAGACCAGTTCCAGGGGGTCTCACCGTGATGAGGGCTCCTGGAGGGGCGGTCCATTGGACAGCCGCGCATGTGACCTTTGAAAGGCTCGCATTGACATACTTGTTTCCTGTATGTCTTGCGATCGTTGATGATCTCCTGTTTCTTAGCCTTTCGGTCCCAAGCCTCTGGCGTTTTAGTCTTGCCATCTTTGGTGCGTATTATGGTGCCAGATTCGTCCCGTTTGCAGTGCTCCTTGGACCACCAGTGGCGGATCACGTCCATCGGGTAGCCGGGGTGCCAAGTGATGTACCACTCCGGCACGTACTGAGCGGATACACCTCTGGAGTGCTCCGTGCTGTACGGGTAGCCAGATGCATCATGTGTAGGGCGTCGTGGAGCTGAACGGCTCCTCCTGCGGGTTGGCCCCGCTGACGCACTGCCACGTTCCATGGGCCTTTCATCTTCGTGACGGTGCTCTGGATCTCGAGGTGGCGATGGTCGTCTGTTCTTCTTTGCATTGCGCCTGTCCTCCGAGTCCTCTGAGCTGTCCTGGACCATGAATACGTGCTGATGCGGGCTTTGGAAGTACCCGATGTCGGTCAACTGCTCCATAGTGAGGTCGTTGAGGTCCATCTGGTCGCAGCCCTGCATGAGCTCGTCCATAGACCAAGCGGGTAGCCCCGCTGCTGCAGCTGGCGCCGCTTCAGCGGGTGGCCCCGCTAGGGCCTGGAGTGCGGTCAGCATCTGTGGTGCCGACATATCAGGATCCAGGTATGGACGCAGCCTTGCGGCCCCTGGGCGCGACAGCAGGTCGTTCATGGTCATCTGCTGATGTGCTGGCGCACTCAGGAGCTGGATCGCTTCTGCGACCTGCTCTTGGAGCCTGTCCTCATAGACCTCTTCGGCCTCTTCAGAGTCAGAGTAAGCTGCGGGATGGCTCCGCATTTCGTCGTCAGCGTCTCCCGCTTCCGAGCCGGCTCGCGAAAGATCAGGCAGCGACGGCATGCCGATCACCTGCGGTGCCAGCGCGGCGGCGAGCTCCTCCTCGGTCGCCGGGACGGTCTCAGCTTCGGAGATCTCGTCGTCGGCGGGTGGCCCCGCTGGAAGACCGAACCAGGCGTTGAACGCGCCCTCGTCGACTTCGTCCCAGCCGTGGAACTCGTCGAAGAGGGTCACCGCGTACTCTTCCAGGGCTACGGTCGCATCAGCGCAGCGGGCCATCGCGTAGTACGTGGACGAACCCGCGGCGGGAGCCGCTTCTGGATTGACGTAAAACTCGTAGTCAATGCAGTCTATGTCATCCATAAAAGAGTTTTGAGCCAAATGTACGGATCCCTTTCCCTTCCCCTTCGGGCATTGATCGCGCAAATGCTCTGTACTACCGCATGTATGACACTTCATAGTGTTGCCAGAAGCGTCCCTAGGGTTACCCCTCCGCCCTTTTCCCTTACCAGAGGTCCGCCTGTGACCCCGACCTTTGCCTCCGATAAGAACTTCTTCAAAAACTACATCAGTTAAGGACGTGAGGAAAGCAGTGATACCCCTACCATGCATACGGCGTCTGCGACCCCCTTTGCCACGACCCTTTCCATAGCGTTTGAAATATCGGCGTACTGCACGTCTCACTTTTCTGACCGGTTTCTTCATAATGCGCCTCCAACGGCGTTTTGATTTGCGATAAGCCATAAAAGCGGCTTCCGCTCTTTGTTGTTCAGAAAGGTGAGTGTCATCAGCTGGATAGTCATTGCCAGCAGAGACCATACCATTGTGATCACCGTCAGATGAGGCATCTGTGTCAGTGCCAGATTCAAACGGAGAGGGTGGCTGAGACCCTTGAGCGGATGACTCCGCTTGGCCCCAGAGGGTTGTGCCCGAGGGCGGGCTTGCAGTGTAGGCGGCGCCCGGCGTGTAGTTCGACCAGGCGTTCGCCTCCGCTGCCTCTGCCGATGCCTGGCCGGTCTGCCCTAAGAGGGCAGTGGCCTCGTTGGGCATATCGGCTGAATCAGCCCAGGGACTTGGCTCGCCAGGACCAGCGGGTGACCCCGCAGTCGTGGCGTAGACACCTGCATGTGCGTGGTGCCCTGTGAAGATGCCCGCAATGTTGCCAGGAGAGCGCTCGGCAACATGCCCGTAGTTCCTCATCCTGGTCAGCAGCCTATCATAGTCTGCTTGCGTTCTGGGCATCTGATGATTGAAGGGCTCCAGCAGGTGTTGGGCTCGTGACGCGCCAACGCCTAACGCTCTGAAAAGGATCATCGTTAGGATCTGAAAGTTGGGGATGACAAATCCAACAGAGTTAGCCTCGTCACGGGCCATCTCGAATCGAGCTAACACTGAGTCGATTCGCTCGCCCCTTTCGACGCGAAAGTCGATAAGGGCAGTGCCAGAGTTGAGCTGGCGCTCATCTTCCAGATTTTCAAATTTGGTACTCAATAGATAAAGTATATAAGTAACTGCATCCGTTGGCTGTCCGTTGACATTTACACCATAATTGATGATCTGGGAGGGGACCTGCATGGCGATACGACGAGCAAGGCCTTGAAGACCACGTTGTAGTGCTGCAGCTTGCTGAGGTGGCGTCATATTGCCGCTCGTCACGTTTATCCATGCATGTACTTCGCGAACGTATTCGCGAAAGGGCGTGGTACCGGCTGGGTCCCAAGAAGGGCCGGTAGTACGCGTGTCGTCCATCCCCTGCCGCATGTAGCCCACAGCACATCCCATTATCACCCATAGAATGCCGAAGATAGTTATCTTGATCCAGTGCATGTGCATCTCGGCTTCGGTGATTGGTTTAGGCTGTGGTTTGTCAGGCTCGGGCGTAGTAGCCGTAAGGCGCCTGACCGGCACGGGATGCAGGTGGCCCCGCTGCGGGTAGCCCCGCAGAGTGACCACGTTCTCGATCGAGTTGCCGATTGGCATCTGGTGGAAGTCGGGAGTGAAGTAGCGCAGTGAGGTAGGAGAGAGCGTCTCGAGCTCGCGGGTAGCCCCGCTAGCCCGATCGCGGACTGGCTCCGCTCCTCGCAGAGCCGGCGCAACATGGTATTCCACCGTAGTAGTAGTCCACCAAGTTGTGCCGTGGATGATGGGTATTAGAGCGAGAGCCAGCCACACGAGAGTGTAGCCAGCTCCGCTACCAAGTCGAAAACGCACTGGTAAGCCAAGATATATGTTCCGCCTTAGGCGCTCCCATATCCCAGGCTTTGGCTCATACCGCATGAGCAAGAGAGCAAGATGAAGCATGGGATCTGGAGTAAAGGATAGAAGGGGCATCTTCAATAGAAAGGTCTTTTCCGATCTCAGATGCGAGTAGTGCGCCTCGGTGAGGCACAATCACATGTTCGGCCGGGCCCGGCTTGAGCCAGGCACGGCAGCGGTGCATGCTCGATTTACATCTCGCCTTTAACCCTCTCCGTTTAAAGTTATTTGGCAGAGTTGGCGAGTGCGCGATGACTGATAGATGATTTCGACATGCGCGCGCGTGCGGCCCGCATGGTCTGATTTGACAGAAAGGAAGCAACATGCGAACGTCTTCTTATGAATTTAGCCAGTGCGCGCGCGGATAATACAGCGGAAACACGATATTATAGATTGAAGTTGTAAGGAAACTAGTGGCTCCTGGTATTGACATGCGCGAGCAGGGGCGCGCGTGTGAGGCCTGCATGGTACTGCTGGGCGCGGATCCATTGAACATGCACCTGCAAGGACAGAGCGCATGCTTCGCATCTGGCACAATGCATTATGGCACGCTCAAGCGTGGCAGAATGCCAAGGGCTGTCCGGTATGGTTCATGCACTCTTCTACTCAAGGGGGCATCCTCCTTCTACTCATTGACAGGCGCGTATATCCGCACCCCTCCCCGAGGACACGATCCTTCGCACAAAACAAACAGTAGATCCGCGCTCCCGAAGCTACGATCGCTCGTAAAATCCGTGGGCCCGCGCCCCAAAGAATTTCAAGTCCCTCTCCTCCTCTCATTCTCGCACATGTGTCCTCATCAAGGGTTTCCACAACGTCTCAGGGAACACATTGCCAAATAGCTTGGCAAGATTTCGGCCCAACGTCTGGCCACGTAGGTAGGCCTTCCGAAAAAGACAGGGGGCGGCGGTGATTCGCCGTAGGCGTCTTCGATAACCAACCAAGGCGGACCCAAGGACCCAGAAGTACTCCCAAGATAGAGCCGAAAGGGACCCCCAGAGCAACCCAAGAGGGCCCTAGGGCGACCCACGAGGGGCCCCAAGACGATCCAAGATGGCCCCCAAACGTCCAGAGATCCCCGGAAAGGATCTGCAGACGGCAAACCAAGCTTTCCAGGCCGCGTCCAGACTGGCGACGAGACCCTCCAGAGGCGCGCACAAAACAGCAATTTGAAACGACGACGACGACGACGACGACGGACGGACGGACGGACGGACGGACGGACGGACGGACGGACGGACGGACGGACCGACCCCAGACCTCAGATGAGGGGCGATATGGTCAGGAATTCGAGCCTGACCCCGCCTCGGCGACGAAGGCGCACACGCCACGTGGAGCCCCCAGGAGGCCCAGGGTCGCCCAAAACCTCGGCTGCTGGACCTCGGGACGACGACGGCGGCGGCGAACGAAATCGCCGTCGGCGACGACGACGACGACGACGACGACGACGACGACGACGGCGACGACGACGAGGACGACGGCGGACGCACAGACCGGGCCTCCTCGACGGCCGACTCGCGGAGCGGGCTCCGAGGTCTCCACCGGCGCCTCGCGCGCGCGCTCCGCGGGCGTGGGGGGGGGTGATGCGAGCGGCCGGCCGGCCGCGGAACGAGCGTCGGCGTCGGAGGGGGTGGGGAGAGGAAGCGGAGGAGGAAGCGGAGGAGGAGGCGGAGGACAAGGCAAACACCGATGCGTGCCCGAGCCTCAGAATGCCTGGGGTGGCACCCACTGTGGCTAGCGGGTGCGCACGTTACGCCTACCGGGAGCAGCCGCCGGAGGGACAGCCTGACGGGGCGGGGGGATCGGAAAAGGGCGAATTGGAACAACGGCAGCTCGAGATCGGTCTCCAGACCCCCCCATGGGGTCCAAACGCTGGGAAAACCAGCATGTACCGATACTGCTACTCTCAAGTCGGGCCCGTCCTCCTACAGGGGCATTTTTGCCGAACAGCGAAGACTGACAGGTTTCCAGTGGTCTCAAAAGAGAGCATCATGACTCCCCAGGGAGGTCCGGGCAGGATCCGGGGAGAATCCGCGGAAGTCGTTTTAAGCAAACAATTACACACTTCGTGCTCTTCGAGTTCCCAGAACTCCATTCCCGGGCCACATTCTGAATGCCCGGAGCCAACTGTAGGCCATTTCGTGCTCTTCGAGTTCCCAGAACTCCATTCCCGCCAGAACTCCATTCCCGGGCATGATTTTGAATGCTGAGGCAGGCTGATGCTGAGGCTGAGGCAGGCTGAGGCTGAGGCAGGCTGAGGCTGAGGCCGAGGCTGAAGACAGACTGAGGCTGAGGCTGAAGCAGGCTGAGGCTGAGGCTGAGGCAGGCTGAGGCTGAGGCTGAGGCAGGCTGATGCTGAGGCAGGCTGAGGCTGAGGCTGAGGCTGATGCAGGCTGAGGCTGAGGCAGGCTGAGGCTGAGGCCGAGGCTGAAGGCAGACTGAGGCTGAGGCTGAAGCAGGCTGAGGCTGAGGCTGAGGAGGCTGAGGCTGAGGCAGGCTGAGGCTGAGGCTGAGGCAGGCTGATGCTGAGGCAGGCTGAGGCTGAGGCTGAGGCTGATGCAGGCTGAGGCTGAGGCAGGCTGAGGCTGAGGCCGAGGCTGAAGGCAGACTGACTGAGGCTGCTGAGGCTGAAGCAGGCTGAGGCTGAGGCTGAGGCAGGCTGAGGCTGAGGCAGGCTGAGGCTGAGGCTGAGGCAGGCTGAGGCTGAGGCTGTGACTGCGACTGCCGTTGCCACTGCGACTGTCATCGCGAATGCGACTACGACTGCGAGAACAGCAGAATTCTACAACTGGATTCTCATCTGAATCTTAAGGGGAATGCTTCCAAATATGCTCCTACACATCGCAGTTAGGTTGCTTTGCCGGGATAATCGACGGAAAATTCGCTGGCCCAACGGGCCAGGGCGTGCTCAGATCTCCGGTACCTGGTTAACAGTATTTCTAGTTCGCGCGCGCGGGGCGGCCCCTGGGGGGTCCCCGGACGAAAAGTACCCCGGCAAGGTCCCGGCAAGTCCCCGGCAAGTCCCCGGCAAGGTCCCGGCAAGGTCGGGTCAGAGATGCCGGAGTTCTGTTTCGGAGTCCAAGAGGGCTCCAGATCGGTCCAAGAGGGCCCCGAGAAGCTTTCTAGACGGTCCAAGAGAGGCCCGAGACGGCCAAAGATCGCCCGAAGACGCCCCAGATGGCCCCAAGACAGCCCAAGAGGCCTCCAAGACGCTCCAAGGGCCTTCCAAGAGGCCTCCGAAGAGGGCCCCAAGTTGCCAAAATCGTTGATTTTCATTGTTTTTTCTATGTTTTTTTGCGTTCTGGCCTTTTCGCTTCCTGGACGCTCCAAGAGGGCCCAAGAGGCCTTCAAGACTGCTCCAAGACGGCCCACGAGGCTCCCAAGACGGCCCCGGAGCGGCCCAAGAGCGCCCCCCAGACGGCCCAAGTGCTGCCCAAGGCGGACCAAGAGGCCCCAAGACGGGCCCAAGAGGGGCTCAAGAAGGGAACCGAGAACTGAAAAATCGAGCCCTCCGCCCCAGAAGGCGCCCAGGACCCCGAAAGAGGCCCCAAGAGACTCTCCAAGACACCCCCAAGACGCCCCAATAAGCTCCCGTGAGGCCCCAAGAGGACCAACAACGTCAGGCCCCAGGCCCCAAGAGGACCAACAAATACCGCCAAGAGCCCGCCGAAAGCCCCCCAAGAGACCGTCACGAGAGCTCAGGAGGCCCCCCTGGAGGCCTCCCGAGTTCTCCAAGAGGCCTAAAAAGAGGCACCAAGAGGCCCCAAACGGCCCCAACGAGGCTCGAAGAGGCCACGAACGCGCAAGCAAACGCCTGCGATGGCACAATACAGGCCGGCGGAATGAGCGAAGCCATTAAATTGAAAATACCCCAAAAATAATCCAAAAATAGTCTGGGGACTATTTTTGAGTAATTTACCTAACAGCGAAGACTGATAGGTTTCTAATGGTCTCAAAAGAAAGCATCATGACTCCCCAGGGGGGTCCGGGCGGCATCCGGGGAGAATCCGCGGAAGTCGTTTTAAGGAAACAATTACACACTTAGTGGTCTTCGAGGTCCCAGAACTCCATTCCCGGGCCACATTCTGAATGCCCGGAGCCAACTGTAGGCCACTTCGCGCTCTTCGAGTTCCCAGAACTCCATTCCTGGGCCACATTTTGAATGCCCGGAGCCAACTGTAGGCCACTTCGTGGTCTTCGAGTTCCCAGAACTCCTTTCCCGGGCCACATTTTGAATGCCCGGAGCCAACTGTAGGCCACTTCGTGGTCTTCGAGTTCCCAGAACTTCATTCCTGGGCATGATTTTGAATGCCCGGAGCCAACTGTAGGCCACTTCGTGGTCTTCGAGTTCCCAGAACTTCATTCCTGGGCATGATTTTGAATGCCCGGAGCCAACTGTAGGCCACTTCGTGTTCTTCGAGTTCCCAGAACTCCATTCCCGGGCCACATTTTGAATGCTGAGGCAGGCTGAGGCTGAGGCTGAGGCAGGCTGAGGCTGAGGCAGGCTGAGGCTGAGGCCGAGGCTGAAGGCAGACTGAGGCTGAGGCTGGCTGAGGCTGAGGCTGAGGCAGGCTGAGGCTGAGGCTGAGGCAGGCTGATGCTGAGGCAGGCTGAGGCTGAGGCTGAGGCTGATGCAGGCTGAGGCTGAGGCAGGCTGAGGCTGAGGCCGAGGCTGAAGGCAGACTGAGGCTGAGGCTGAAGCAGGCTGAGGCTGAGGCTGAGGCAGGCTGAGGCTGAGGCTGAGGCAGGCTGATGCTGAGGCAGGCTGAGGCTGAGGCTGAGGCTGATGCAGGCTGAGGCTGAGGCAGGCTGAGGCTGAGGCCGAGGCTGAAGGCAGACTGAGGCTGAGGCTGAAGCAGGCTGAGGCTGAGGCTGAGGCAGGCTGAGGCTGAGGCTGAGGCAGGCTGAGGCTGAGGCAGGCTGAGGCTGAGGCCGAGGCTGAAGGCAGACTGAGGCTGAGGCTGAAGCAGGCTGAGGCTGAGGCTGAGGCAGGCTGAGGCTGAGGCTGAGGCAGGCTGATGCTGAGGCAGGCTGAGGCTGAGGCTGAGGCTGATGCAGGCTGAGGCTGAGGCAGGCTGAGGCTGAGGCCTGAGGCTGAGGCTGAGGCTGAAGGCTGAGGCTGAGGCTGAGGAGCTGAGGCTGAGGCTGAGGCTGAGGCTGAGGCTGAGGCTGAGGCTGAGGCTGAGGCTGAGGCAGGCTGAGGCTGAGGCTGAGGCTGCAGGCTGAGGCTGAGGCTGAGGCTGAGGCAGGCTGAGGCTGAGGCAGGCTGAGGCTGAGGCCGAGCTGAAGGCAGACTGAGGCTGAGGCTGAAGCAGGCTGAGGCTGAGGCTGAGGCAGGCTGAGGCTGAGGCTGAGGCAGGCTGATGCTGAGGCAGGCTGAGGCTGAGGCTGAGGCTGATGCATGCTGAGGCTGAGGCAGGCTGAGGCTGAGGCCGAGGCTGAAGGCAGACTGAGGCTGGGGCTGAAGCAGGCTGAGGCTGAGGCAGGCTGAGGCTGAGGCTGAGGCAGGCTGAGGCTGAGGCAGGCTGAGGCGGAGGCTGAGGCTGATGCAGGGTGAGGCTGAGGCAGGCTGAGGCTGAGGCCGAGGCTGAAGGCAGACTGAGGCTGAGGCTGATGCAGGCTGAGGGTGAGGCTGAGGATGGCTGAGGCAGGCTGGGGCTGAGGCTGAGGCAGGCTGAGGCTGAGGCAGGCTGAGGCTGAGGCTGTGACTGCGACTGCCGTTGCCACTGCGACTGTCATCGCGCATGCGACTGCGACTGCGAGAACAGCAGAATTCTACAACTGGATTATCATCTGAACCTTAAGGGGAATGCTTCCAAATATGCTCCTACACATCGCTGTTAGGTTGCTTTGCCCGGATAATGTTTACCTCTTTGGGGTATTTTGGGGTATTCTTTTTTATCGTTCGTCGAAAATCCCTCTGTAGGGGGACACGCCCGACTTAATGCTACTCCCCGGACCGTTCCCAGGGTGCGTTCTGAACCAGATTCCATAGCGAATCCATCGGTGTCAACAAGGGCCCCCTAAAAAATTATAGCCGGAGTGCAGTGTCCCCAAACAGGGTTTTTAAACCCAAAGCGGTTTCCAAGGTCGATTGCGTGCCCGTCCATTGCGTCCAGACGCACAGCAGCGGGAGGCGGGAGGCAGGAGGAGGGAGGAGGGAAGAGGAGCCAGGCGGGAAGCGGAAAGAGGGAGGCGGGAGAAGGAATGAGAGAGGTTGTGATTGGAGCCCCTGCGCTACGAAACGTCTCAGGCAGAACGGGCCAGACCATCTCGCGCGCAACATCTTCGAGCTTCGCATTGTGAGGATGGCTCAAGCGAAACGGGCCGGACCACCTCGCGAGTGACATCTTGGAGCTCAGTAAAGGAAGGATGTCTCAAACGAAACGGGCCGGACAACCTCTCGCACACGTTCTGACAAGTCCACGTCACACTCACTCCTCTCTTGCAACTCCCTTCCTTCTCCCTCCTCCTCCTCCTCCTCCTCCTCCTCCTCCTCCTCCTCCTCCCCCTTCTCCTGCCTGCTCCCTCATCCACATCCTCCTCCT